GATGAGAGGAAAGGAGAGAGACCACCCTCTACCCTAGGGAAGGAAGACCCTGCCCTGGCACCTTTTGGTACTTGGTGCAGTAGGTCGGTGGGAAGCGGGTGGGAAACCACATTTGACTCTGCTCCTTCCTCCGCCACCACTTTCCTCATCACCGTGTTCAGAGACCCCCAAAGCCCCTTCACACTCCCAGAAACACCCCCCTGGTCATTCCTAACTTGCCATGCCCAGGAGTTAGGTGCTTCCACTAGTGACAGGGAGCTGGCGTTTGGGGGGCACCTCAGCAGGTGACGGGGAGAGAAGCCTGCAGCCTCACCAGCTGGGCTGCAGCAGAGAGAGGAGCCCTCATGTTCCAGCGGGGACTCTCAGCTGTTTGCCTGTAAAACCATGCTTCTCACCTGGGGGCCACTGAGATGTCTAGAGAGATGTTTTGATTTTCACAACTTGAGGAGGGTGCTACTGACATCTCGTAGATAGAGGCCAGGGATGCTGCTAAACATCCTACATGGCACAGGACAGTCTCCTACATCAAAATATGACCCAACCCCAGTGGTACCACTGCTGGGGCTGACACTGGCATTGCTACCTTAATTACATTCATTGATTGTCTTCTAGGAGCCCTGTTCTAAGTGCTTGTCTCAGATTATCTCATTTAATCCTCACAACAATTCCCCTATGTAGCAGGTGCTGTTATTATCTCCATGATGGGGAAACTGAAGCACAGAGAGGGTTAGTAACTTGCTAAAGGTCATAGAGCCAGTGGGTGGTGGAGCTGGGTGCCTGACACTAGCTCCCTCCCCTCTCAGCCACACGTGGGTTTACTTGGCCATTGTGGACTAGTCTGGGAACCCAAATATGATCTATAACATTGACCCAGTAGATATTGATTCTAAAACCACTGTTTCACAAATGAACTTTTACAAGAGTCTGTAATTGGAGCATGACCCAGAATAAGTTTAGGGAGATGTGGAGTTTAAAGCTCTCAATTTCTTATCTGGCCCCGACACAGAGAGCAAGGCATTTCACTCTACCTTGGTGCTCTGTTTATAAAACAAAGAGCAAATATCTCTTCCCAAGGTCCTTAAACTTCTACTCCCTAATGCAGGGTTTCTGGACTGATCTGCCAGATGAAGGGGCAGCTGGTTTGATTGACCCAGGGAAGGCTGGAAATCAAGACTGGGGGATCAAGATGTAGATTCAGTGTGGCCAAGGTCAAGTCTCTGTGGTTTAGGGACATCAGATGCCCAGCTTAGGTTCTGTACCTCGGCAAGGTAAAAGCGTTGGTGCCCACTGATGAGGCCAGCTCTGAGATTGTGGGTGTGGGTTGAGTTGGGTGGGCATAGGCAAGTCCTCATGTAAGAATCCCTTGGCAAAGATGGGCCCGGGAGGCTTTTCTCACTTCCTGGGGCCCAGGCTTTGCAATAAATATTCCATTATACTATGGTGCCTTGGGGCTACCTGAGAATCCTCTGTCTCGCCCCTGTTGCCTTGCCAAAGAGGTTGCTGTCCAAGAATTCCTTTCCTGTCTCCAGACGCCATGCTCCTGCCACCTCTGCCAGGTTCCCTGCCTGCCCAGATGGCTCCCACCTGAGTATGAGGAGGAGTTTGCGGCTGGCCCAGGACAGGTTTTGAGCTTTCTGGGTTCTCCGGTTAGGAAGCTTTCTGTAAGCATGCAGATACAATGGGCATCAGCAAAATACAAACTGGAACAATTTCCAGGTATATTCCCTTAATTTTCTTTGCTTTTTTCCTATTTCATCAGGCTCCATGCTGAGCCCAATCAGGGACCTGTTAAAAATCCAAACACCATGTCAGCGAGTCCCCAAGAAATGCATTTTGTGCCAAGGCTATTCAAGGAAGTTTTGGGAGCAGCTCAAGGGCAGACACTGTTACCCTTCCCCCAGGTCCCCAGTGCAGGGCAGTGTCCTGCATGTGGAGGCAGTTTGGCCTAATGGTTAAGGAGGCAGGCTCTGATTGGGCCTCCTGGACATAAGTCCCAGCTCCCTGCTCACTGTGGGACCTGAGCCATGTTGTTTAGCTGTTTGGAGAGTTTTTTGTCATCCATAACTTGGAGTATGATGGTACCTGTCTCACGGGTTGCCATGGGGTTCAAACAAGCTAACCTGGTACTCACCAGGGCCCGACACATAGTAACTGCTCAGTAAATCGCATCATTGGCAGTGTCGTATGGATAAGTGCTTGTGATTGGCTGAATGAGCAGAGGGGTCTAAAGACCCTGGTGATGGAATCAGTTGTACAGATAAATTGTTACACTGAGTAGGGATCAAGATAGGAAAAGTGGGTAACTGTCCAGCTCCCCTGCAGCCAAACTTTGGGCAGAAGTGGACCCTCTGAAAATTGCACACACCCATGTTTAAATGTACACACAGAACTCTTGCCACAGGCAAGCGGAGATTTGTCATCTGCTGTCCCTGCTTCATATTCTTCCTGAAATCCACTCCATGCCAGGAATAAACTGCATGCTCTCCACCAGCCCAAACCGACCTGCCCTCCCTCCAGTCATCCCGGGAAGGGTGACCTGGCTTAGTACATTGGGTTCAGAGATCTTTCCAGTTTACTTGTTGAATAAAAAGTGAGGGCTGATTAAGAAAGTAATGGCAGTCAGGGAAGGCGAAGGAGGTGAAGAAGAGATTTTACAAATGAAGTAATTCAACGGAGTGCTGACGTTGGTAAACTGGCGAACAGGTTTCAGGGTGGTCGGTTGAGAGTAGAGTAGAAAAGGGTTAAATAAAGCAAACTTGTGGTGTACTGAATCTTAGGAATTCCATGTATCCAATAAGTATAGTCATTTATGAATTAATAAATTAGGCCTAAGAAGCCTTCTTATCCCTTAAATCAAGACTGAGTAACAATATATCAGTTTTAAAAAGTCATTACATCAGAAAATAATGTAAATGATACATATAGATTTTCAAGATTTTACTTTAACTGAAACTATATAAATGTAAATTCGTTCACCCATCTTTTGACACAGGGCCCAGGTCTTCTCTTGGTGTCTGGATCAGCCAGTTGAAATTTCGTGTCTCTCTTGCCTGTGCCATATTAATAATGCACTGTCTGGGTCTTCCGATTTCAGTTTGGATTTTGGGTTTATATTGTGGAGTCATCTGAATGCAGAATCCCTCAGGGATTTTACTTTTTTCTTTTTTTGCATGGTCTTTACCATCCTGTTTGATAGTAAATATTACTCACCTTTGTGAAGTCTTTCCAAAACATTCAACTTAATTTTCTTAAAATCATTGAATGATTTGAAGAGCTTATCCTTCCCCTTGCACTTGTACTCCCTCAGCTTGCACCTTATTTATTTATTTATTTATTTATTTATTTATTTATTTATTGAGACAGAGTCTCGCTGTGTCGCCCAGGCTCGAGTGCAGTGGTGCGATCTCGGCTCACTGCAACCTCCACCTCCTGGGTTCAAGCAATTCTGCCTCAGCCTCCCCAGTAGCCGGGACTACAAGTACACACCATAATGCTCGTTTGATTTTTGTATTTTTGTAGAGATGGGGTTATGCCAT